CACATTGTTGTTCTAACTACTCCTAGTGCCTTCAAGGTTGCAGGCATCACTCCCAGGGTCTGTCATTCCAGAGTGAAAAGGGCGCATCATCCTGATGAGGAGGCACATCAGTGGGAGGCCCAGCCAGACCTCCAGATCCTCTTGTCGGAGTGGTGTCTTTTATTCTGGGCATTAGACTCTCTGCTGTTGCACCCCTGGACTGGACTATTCCTCAAAAAGTTGTCCTTTCTATTGTCTATTGGGTCATCATTAAGCTGTTTTGCTGGGCTTACCTGTCTGCTAGCTGGACTCAAGTCTCAGCCTGCATTTCCAAAGTACCTCTCTGTAAAGTTTAGCTGTACAAAAGTAATAAAGTGTATAGTGGGCCTGAGGGGAGCTACCTCCTTTCCCCCTGGTGAGATTTCCTAGGTGAAACAGGCTGCCCCTTTACTGATCCCTGCTCTAGTTGAGCTCAGTGTATCTGGATCAGCTGCAGCAGGCACAGCGGCTCTAATAAACAGAGAAAGTTAATCAAATTTAGAGCGGCTTGAAACCACCATGATTCAGCTGCAAGATCAAATTGTTTCCCTGGCTGAAGTAGTGTTACAGAATCATAGAAGACTGGACCTCCTGTTCATGTCACAGGGAGGCTTATATGTAGCCCTTGGAAAAGATTGTTGTTTTTCTATGCAAAATTAAGTCTAGCATAGTTAGGAGCTCTCTAGCCAAAGTAAAAGAAAACATCCAGCATAGGAATAAAATGTTAGAAAATAAAAAGTCTTAGTTCCAGGGATGGTTTGAGTAGGATCCATGGCTAACAACTCTTCTAACTGGCCTTGCTGGGCCAGTGATTCTGCTGTTCCTTAGACTATTAGTGGGACCCTGCATATTTAACTGGCTCATTAATTTTATCAAGGAACATGTTTCCTCCATACAGCTCATGTATATGTGGAGCCACTATGACCCTGTCATAAGCCAGGGAGATGATGCCCCCTAAAACAAAGTGTTTAAAGGGGGCATCAGAGAGGGGAGTGATAGGAAAAGACTTGGGAAGACAGCAATCTAGCCTGGATGGCTCCTCTCTGTCTTGACCCCTCCTCAACACAAACGAACAAAAAAACACTCCCTTGCTTTCCTGCTCACTTGAGCACTGGTTCCAAGATTCACTCCCTAAACTCCCCCCGCACCCCTTGCCTGCTCACTTGCTCTGCACCTAGGAATGTTACAGATATGAAGCAGAAAGATATATATTGCTCCCTTTGCCTTTGTTCGGGGCTCAGACTTTGTGGAAGATCACTCCCCTATGAGCCCGCCAGTGTGAAATAAAGCCTCAACACTCCAAGACCTCCGAGTGCCACTTGGTTTTTCCGTCGGTGATCCAGTCCAGGTTTATTCAGTATTTTCCGTAACAGAATTAAGTGACAATTAATTTGTGAAAGAAAAAAACACGTAACAAATGTGACTCAAACAGAGACATGACAAGAATACAGGAGGAGGAAGAGGGATCTCAGGAGAGCTGAAATCTCTCAAAAAATGCCATTTAAAGAAATAGGGAGGTGGTGCAGGAAATATAAATCCAAGGCTGTCCTGCTGGATTCAGGATTGAACCACTTCCTATCTGCTGTTACAGCAGCTCGGTGGCAGGATGGGGCTGTGCCTAGCAGTGGGCAGGAGAGGCTGGGGGACAGCAATGCATCGCTGACAAGGTTTAGAATTGCCAGCACAAGGGATTGTACAAATCAAACTAGCTTACTGATTTTTCATTTTCTGAATAATTTTCTGCAGACCATGTACCTCCTATTTCCTGGGCCTGGGAGAGACCCCTTCCCCCACTGCTCTGGAGACAGATAAACCAGGTTAAAGTTCCAAGCCCCTAGTGAGTAGTATAGGAAGATCTATAAATGCAACACATGCCATTATTAGGTTAAAAACAGGTCAAGACAACAATATGACCAAGTCGTAGGTGAGGCCAAGCATCTTATGGTTAAGAGCAGACAGAGGCTGTGGGAACAAACTGAGTTGGGATCCCGCCTGTACCATTAGCATGACTAAGGGCAGGGGTAGGCTCCATGAGCCTCAGTTTCCCTGCCTGTTAAAGGGAAGGTGAGAACAGTACCTACTGTTCTTGTGGTGTTGTGCTGAAGGTGATCTAGGGTGATGCCTCTGTTAAGCAGGAAAATAGATATGAGCGGGGTGGAAAGAGAACAAGGCCAGAAAGTCCACCAAAAAGACCCAAAATCAATCAATTAAAGCTCAAAACCCAGGAGCAACTTGGCCTGGAATGTTCGAATATTCCCCAGAGAAAGGAGGGTATCTCAGCAGAGCCCATGTCTTTATTGTGTTAATCATGCAGGCCCAGCTTATTTTTTTTACCTTTACCTACATGCTGTTTATTTTCTCCTTCCAGCCCTAATTAAGCAGTTTGTAACCCAGGCAACTAATTTAGCATGCAGGCCCAGCCGTAAACAACATAGTGAAAGACAGGAAGGATTCCATCTTAAAGATAGTATTTTAATACCCAGGAAGTTAAAAATGTAAGATTCATAACTTACTCTTTAGCAAACAGACAATAACTCAGCCCACCTTGCGGACTGGGGAGGCAGCCTTGTTTGACCTGCTCCCAGACCAAGAAAGCCAGCATCACAGGGAGAAATCAGAGCAGGAAGTTCCTTGTGTTAAGTTAATTCTAAGTATTCAGGGACCACTTAACAAGTATGCACTGCCAGCCCTTAATCACACTCCTGAAGAATCCTTAAAAGGGGGAATCCCAAGCCTTTCCTCTCCCTGAGGTCACCCGCACTTTCTAAGTGTGTAACCTTTTAATCTTAAACTTTCTCTCTCCAAAAGTTTCAGGGCGCCTCTCCTTGCTGAGGTGGCCTGTATTTTTTCTCTCTTTTAAGTAACTTTAAATAGAACTTTTACTCTGCTTCACTACTGTGTCTCTGCCCTTCAATTCTTTGTCGCGGCGGGGACAAGGACCAAGGAAAATACACAGCGCTCCAGCAACACTGCCCAAGCTGTTCAGCCAGGACAGTACACGGGGGGGGGGGG